ATTTATTATTATTTTTTTTTTTTATTTAACAATTATAAATTGATTTGTTTAAAACTACAGCACAGTCACTAGTTTGCCGTCATTACCGGTAGATATCGATGAATGTCCAATACAACCGACAATCAGTACTGCTCAAATGGTTCCACCACCTCAAAGTTCATTAGATTCTGTCTCGTCAGATAGCTGGATTAATATATCTGATTCAGCAAGTGATAATTCTTTCTCATTCAAGACGCAATCATCAAAGAAAAAAAGTCAATTATTATTTTTCCAATATTTTTTTTAGTATAACTCCAATCTTTAATTTACAAAAAAAAACATTATTTTTATGTTTCAGAAATGAAAGAAACCGATGATACTTCAGAAACTGAAATAAGAAGAATAATTTTATCAAATATTGAAGAATCGAAAAAGACGCCTGACGCTGTTGATGGTTTTCTTCTCCAAATAGGAAGTAGATTACGGACATTGCCACCACGGGAGAGGGCACAATTTGAAATAAAAATATTAACCGATCTTTTGGATTTAGAAAATTCTTTATCACTTCATTAACTTGTGCTTTTTACATTATATTTTATATCTATACGTTAAAATAATATATGTTATAAGATAAACATAATATAAAGTAATATATATTATAATATGAAATAATAAAAGTTTTATAAAGTTAAAAGTTATTCTGTATAGCTTTTTCCCATTGATAAGATATTGCGCCATTTCCATTAAAGAATGCAGTATATGCGTTTCTAACTTCGACTCCACTTTGAGATATCCTTCCTCGACAAATAGGTAATGAGCAAAACTCTTCGAAAATCGTTGAATGACTCGTGTCATTAGTAATATGCGTGTCCTAGTAATATTATTTTACTGACTGGCAAAGGGACTATGGGAAGACAGCCTGCATTTAGTCTAGGGTTACCAACCGTACTCTTTAAAGAGTACATGTACTCTTTTCGAGGTCGGAAAACAGTGTACTCTTAGGGTGCTGTCCCATGATACGGAAATTACACCGAAACGGAACAGTGAGACCAATCACAATCGCAGAAAGGAAAGTAGAATAATGATTGCAGAGATCTGATTGGTCTCACTGTTCCGTTCCGGTGTAATTTCCGTATCATGGGACAGCACCCTTAGAGTGCCGTCACATACAGCACGCAATCCGTAATCCGCACCGAATGTTCGCAAAAGTAGTAGGGATTTCGTCCGTAACGTTACATTATTTTTTTATTTAACAAGTTATATTGATTATTTTTAATTTATTTCATAAGAAAACTACAGAATATATCTTGATTATAACAAAAACTTTACTTAAACCGTCAAATTTAGTCAAATAGATAAAATTAGAAAAGCATTACTAGTAAAAAATGGTAACTTTTACGGAATTACGGCTCCATGGGACATAAGGAGATAAAATACACGTAAAGCCGGTTCTACATTAGTTGCAAGCTGATTGCAAGTTTGTTGCGATCTGAAGCGTTGATTTCAAAATGCAAGCTTGAGATTGGCTGTCGCAACGAACTTGCGATCGGCTTGCAACTAATGACACATTCGATACATATGCACTGACAAGGTTCTAGTGTTGCCCTGACACGGTACTGCCCTGACACGGTGTTGCCCTGATAGGGTTCTGCCCTGACACGGTGCTGCCCTGACACGGAGCGAATGCAAAACTACACTCTAATTAATAATTCAATTAATAATTTAATTTTTAATTAATAATAATAATAATAATAATAATTTAATTTTTTTGTTTTTAATTAACTTCCGGCCTTTCTTCTTTTATTAAACATAACATATCTTCATCATCACTACTACTACTTGTTTCTAATAATTTATCTATAATAAATAATAGTCTTTCTTTATCCATTTTGTAATTTTTTGCTGCCTAACTAGTTTTATTTGTCCGTACACTAAACTGCACTGGCAAAAATGTCAGTGCAATATTTCTTGCACTCGTTCGGTTCATTCGGTTCGGTTCATTCGGTTCGTCCGAATACAAATTCAGCACTACACTAGGTCAGTTTTCATTTGCCGAATACGATAATCACGGAGTAATAAGAAGGAGATCATGCTCGAGAATAAATATGGGCTCGAAACACGGTTTCGGAAAACCCCATAAAAAATCAAGATGTGATTTTAACGCCTTCGTGGGAAAAGTTGAAAGTATTGACTGTCACGTGACATATATTTCGCTTTCTTTAACCTACTACATTTCGATGTGTTTCGATGTATTTTCCGACAGGCGTGCTCGGATCAGTTCTTCTATACAGCGTTTTTCCGACACCGTGTTTCGAGCACATCTTTTTCATGGCCGACCGCTTGAGCTTGATCTCCTTCTTATTACTTCGTGACGATCATATATGTAATACTACTATATGGCTAGTGCCTATAAGAGGGAGTGAGAGGAAGCGGTCCCAGAACCGCGGTGCGGGAATATATATTTCCCTCTCTTTCTAAGAGTACTTTGAGTGTTGTGCGCATGCGTTGGATTGATTGCATCCGCCAATAGGAAAATAGAATGCGATCAGTGAGATGACGCAAACAGGTTATGCTCGTTATGCTTATTAGATGTGTGCTGTTGTACACAGGCAAAAATGGTCAAAGGGTGCGTTCCGAGTCGCGCATGAAGCGCGTAGACTGCATAGAAAGTCGTTCCGAGTTAACTATTGCGCGCTTCGAAAGCGCTTCGAGAGTACTTGAATTCCCCAGATTGTACTAACCGTACTGAATTCTTAGCACTCCACTCAGCGCATTGACTGCTTCTCTTTCGACCTGAGGCAGTTGATGCGTCTGATGCGTTCATGCGGTCTATGCGCATGATTTGTAATTCGGAACGAGCAACGAGTACCGGACAATACAAC